ATACGTTCAAGAATAAGTCATTTATTCGATTTCGAAAGCTTATGGCCTCAGTGTGGATGCCACGGTGGACGTGAAGCAGCCGCAGGGCACAATCCTCAGTCTCACCTTCAAGGAGGCCACCTGCCGGAGCATCACATGCGTTGCCCTCGTCATCGTTTCGAACCCCAACAGGATCCTGATTCCTATCTCCAACTTTGATTACATCCTTATGATGTGTTTGTAAAAGAATAAATTCACTCAAATTAACTTAAAATGAGATTTCTCTTTTTTTTTTAAAGTACTTAATTTAGAAAATGTGATATAGTTAGTTGTTAGTGGAATTTTGTGTTTATATTAAAATATATTTAAAATAAAATAACTAAAGTTGATTTGATGCCGTCTCCAGAAATTTGGAGGCCCCAGGCAAATTTTAACTTTTTGAATTTTCCAATTTTAATTTGCATGGTAGGGCTATTTGTAGATAGAATTATACAAGAAAAAAAAAAATTAATTAAACAAAACTATTAAATAAATAAATAATTGAAAAAAAAAATAGTTTTTCTTATTTTTCTAGACATTGGAAAAATTACCTTTAATAAATTATAAATTGTATTCAAGCGATCACGAATACCAAAAGAAGGAAAAAATAAAAATCATATTAGCAAAGATATTTATTCTCACACAACTTGTTATCCCCGAACATCATAAGGAAAAAATAATAAAATATTTAGGGCCTCAAATTCCTACACAAAGTACATATTTGCTATTATCCTCTTCATTAATTAGTCACTTCATTTGTGTAACGGACCCCAAGTTCATATTTAGCTATTAGCCTCTTTGTTTGTGTAAATAAACAAAACCAAACATAAATACTTAACATTAAAAAAAAAAATTGAGGCCCCTAATAATTGGAGGCCCTAGGCATGAGCCTATGGTGCCTCCCCTCTGGAGCCGACACTAGTAAAAGTAGAAGAGAGATGATACGAAATGATGGTAGTTAGTTAAAATTACGTGAATTGATGAATGATGAATTAAAGTTGGTATGATATGAAAAAATGATTGGTCGTTATTATAAAATGAGTGGTTGGTATTATTTAATTATATTGATAATATTGAGGGTAATGGAGTTGAATTAAAGTTGAGTTAGATTATGAGTATGAATTAATTTGGATAGAGTAATTTCTTTTGCAAACATAGCCGACCTTATTACCATCAATGAGTAGTTTCCCGATTCTGATTTGACTCAATACTATCTATTTTAACCAGTACTTATTTCTCAATTTTGATTCTATTTGTTATGGAAGTGTCTATGCGTAAAAATTGTAAGATAATTCGATAAATTAATTAATGTCTGTAAAAGTCGAGGGATTTTAATGGTATGTTTGGCAAATCTAATTGATAACATAGTTGATGGTTCTTAAGTTGTGAAATTTGACAAGTTAATTTCGAGTTGATAGTTTATAGATTTCAACTCTAATGCTGCAGTTGCGAATAAGCT